CAGCCACCTCGTCTGTTTTCAAGGGCTGTGCTCACCTGTTGAATTGTTTACAGTGCCCTGGCCTGCTGGATCAGCTCTCAAGTTTTTAACCAGTTTTGCCCAGGTTTTTGTCCTGTTTCATTCACTAATCTGTGTGATTTGGGGCCACTTTCTTTGTCTAGGCCTCAGTTCCTCCTACCTGTAAATAAGGATATGCAATCTATAACCCTGACTTTACTCAAAACATTAATGTTTATTGGATCTTTGCTCTCTGGAAGCCCCATACTTGATGCCTTCCATGCGTTAAATTACTTTATCCCCACAGCAATCTCATGGGGAATGTGCCTTTATTACCCCCATTTTACAGATGACTAAACTGAGGCTTAGAGACATGAACTGACCTGCCCAATAAATCAGCTTATAAGAATTGGAGCGAGGATTTGCGTGTGCATCTAACTTCAGAGTATGTGCTGTAAATCCACCTTGTCCCTCTTCATCATGGAAGTCCATGGTGCCATCACTAAAAACCCTAAGCCAGGCATCTTCAAACTACGGCCTGCGGGCTACATGCGGCCCGCTGGGTGTTTTTGCTGCCGCTGCCTGTCCTGCTTAGCAGCCGACTCGTCCCGGGACCCGCAGTCTGGCCCTCCAATGGTCTGAGGGACAGTGAACTGGCTCCCTGTTTAAAAAGTTTGAGGACCCGTGCAAGCGTTTTAAAAACAGGCCTAGATCCCACCTCCAAGATTCTGCTATAATTGGTTGTTACACCTGGGCTGGGGACCCCACCTGTAGAAGGTATACATGGGTGTCCCAAAGTACAGGTTTAAGCTTGAGGCATAAACACGTTTAAAAAGAATAGACTTTGTTTGAACCTGCCAGCCCTGGTGTATATGGCGCCCTAGCCACTGAGCTACAGGTGCTGAGCCAAGGAAATACCAGATTTAAATTTAAAATCTTCTTTCAAATTTATAGAACTGAATAAGTACAAAGGAAATGTACACAAAATTTCAAATGCTAGTTTCTGTTAAGTTTATGGCATTCATACTATGGAACTTGTTAGAACAGAAAACTATGCTCAGCCTTTTGGAACACATCATATTCAAGAAAGGGGAAAGTGGTCAGTTCCACAGGGAAGACACTGCTGAGATCTGAAAGGTCATGGAGGACTTCATAATGGCTGGACAGGCAAGGGCCAAGGGATGGCTGTTTCTGACAGAAAGGCATGTGTGAGCCACAGTAATGGTGTTAGCCAGGGAAAAGCCTCTGGTTCAGCGCATAGACATGCTGTTCCTGGGGGTGCTCAGCCTGAAACAAAGCTAGAGGGGTAGAAATGAGGCCGAGGGGCCACTGAATAGCATTGGAAAATCGGACCTTATACTGGAGCCACAGGGGGCCATTGAAAGTTTGTGAGTAGCAGAGAGACTAGATCTGATTTGTGTAGGGAAAGGATAATAGCAAATGTTCAACAATATACTAGTGGTAGTGATAGGCAACTGATAGGTTACTGTTTAATAAATGAGTTTCTGTATCTTTAGTGCCTGCAGCCAGGTAAAGTTTTGTTAAAATTTGTGCCAAACCTGTAAGCAATGATAGTGAGCACATTTTAGCATCCAGATCTCGGTTTCTAAAGACAATTCTGTGCTAAAAGCAATAAGGGTTTCCTAAAGCAGAGGTTCTCAACCTGTGGGTCGCGACCCCTTTTTTCCATTTGTAATAAGGTGGCAATTAGGAAGGTTGAGAACCACTGCCCTAGAGAAATGGCTGCAGCAGGAAGTAGAGGGAAGCCTGAAATATCTCACTGCATCACAAAACAAGAACACGCTCAAGCAAGCTGGATTAGTGTCCACAGGACCCAGGAGCTGGCCTGAAGAGGCTTCACTGGCCAAATTTGAGGGAAAACTGACCAGAAAAAAAATAACTATTCTAAAACATAGAATTAAAAGAATCCAGGAGTCCATAGTGAGTCTCATCAAAAAGGGGGTGGGGGAAAAGACAGTTCTTTGCAGAGGAACGCCCATTAGCAAACGTAAAGCTAATAGACAGGGTCGAAAAAAAATCACAAAACTGATTCAGGCAATGCTGCTCAAACCACTGAGTGAAAGGCTGACACAGGACAGAGCGTTCACATCTCCCCCCGGGGATGTTAATTACCAGTGGAAGAGGGTACCATTTACTAGAGAAATGGGGCAGACACTACCAAGTGATCAAGCTTCACATCACCAGTGGGACAAACGGGCAAGTCTCCTGATGAGATACAACGGCAAGTACACATCATCCAAGTGTGTTCTGCCAAAAAAATTTTTTAACCTGAATCTAAGGTTTGAGGTGCGATCAGATAATCTAGATTATGGAATATTCTATAAGACCCGGTCTGGATTCGTCAAGGTCATCATTGTGATTAAAAACCTTCCATAAACGGAGGGAAGAGCAGGTCTGAGTTAAAGGAAACTGGGGAGACAAAGAGATATAAGAGACAGTGAGTAATTCTTGATTGGATCCAGGATGGGCAAGTGAGGATATCTGAATATAAACCGTTAATAGTATTGCTTTATTATTAAATTTCTTGGGTATGAAAATGGTAGGGTGGACAATGTTGTCCCCAAGCGACACGCAACGTATCTAGGTAGGCATCCGCAGCTCAGTTTTAAAAG